CTGGGCAACCTTTTGAATTTAGTGGAAAAGGGAAGTTCTCCAACACAGTGCCAATAATACTTACATATGAGAAGATGCATGTGGGTGAGACCACCTGTAAATATAATGAATATGGAAAAGCCTGTGATAAGTCAGCTGCCATTGCCCAAGAGATAACTCAGGTAGGAAAGAAAACTTTTCAATGTGATATATGTGGGAAAATGTTCTATAAAAAGATTAAACTTTCTCAACATCAGATTACACACGCAGGAGAGAAACATAAATATGGCAGATGTCAGAATTCTTTTATTAGGACATCATATGCAAGTTCATGTCAGAGAACATCTACAGGGAGGAAGCTTTATCCATGTAAAGAACATGAGGAATTTTTCTATCAGAAGTCAGACCTTGGACCAGCCCGGTGGCGCACTGGAGACTGCGCCGATGGGAGTGCGCTGGCGCTCCTGCCGAGGGTTCGGATCCCATGTGGAGACTGGTTCCCGCTCACTGGCTGAGCACGGTGCTGGCGCAACACCGAGGGTTGTGATCCCGTTGCCGGTCAGTAAAAAAGACAAAAAGGAAAAAAAAAAAAAAGAAGTCAGACCTTACTGTGCATCACAGAATTCACACAGAGGAAATGTCCTATGAATTTATTAAGTGTGGCAATGACTTTGATGAAATTTCATTTCTCAACTGTCATCAGAGAATTCACACAAGTGAAAAATCATATGAATGTGATGAATGTCGAAAATTTTTCAACCATAATTCTGCCCTTACTCTTTTTCAGAGAATTCACATAAGTGAGAATTCATATGAGCATGAAGAAAGTCAAATTTTCTACAGTAAGTCAAAACTCAAAAAACATGAGAGAATTCACATTGCTGAGAAACCGTATGAATGTAACAGATGTGGGAAAACCTACCAGAATTCAGACTTCAGCAAGCATCAAAGAATTTATAAGGAATGTGGAAAATTTAACCAAAAGTCAAATCTGAAGACAACTCAGAGAATTCACACAGGTGAGTACCCAAATGAATGTAAAGAACGTGTTGATGCTTGTAACCAAAAGTCCACCCTCACCATGGATCAGACAGTTCACACAGGTGAGAAACCATATGAATGTAAAGAATGTGGAAAAGCTTTTAACCGAAAGTCACACCTCAGCATGCATCAGAGAATTCACACAGGTGAGAAACCATATGAATGTAAAGAATGTGGAAAAGCTTTTAACCGAAAATCACACCTCAGCATGCATCAGAGAATTCACACAGGTGAGAAACCATATGAATGTAAAGAATGTGGAAAAGCTTTTATCCAAAAGACATCCTTCTGGTTTCATCAGAGAGTTCACACAGGTGAGAAACCATACGAATATAACAAATGTGGTAAAGCTTTTAACCAAACGTCAATCCTCAGTAGGCATCAGGTAATTCACACAGGTGAGAAACCATATAAATGTAAAGAATGTGGAAAAGCTTTTAACCGAAAGTTCACCCTCAGCATGCATCAGATAATTCACACAGGTGAGAAACCATATGAATGTAAAGAATGTGGAAAAGCTTTTAACCAAAAGTCACACCTCTGCAGGCATCAGAGAATTCACACAGGTGAGAAACCATATGAATGTAAAGAATGTGGAAAAGCTTTTATCCAAGAGACATCCTTCTGGTTTCATCAGAGAGTTCACACAGGTGAGAAACCATATGAATGTAAAGAATGTGGAAAAGCTTTTAGCCAAAAGTGCACCCTCACCATGCATCAGAGAAGTCACACAGGTGAGAAACCATATGAATGTAAAGAATGTGGAAAAGCTTTTAAGTGAAAGTCTAACCTCAGCGTGAATCAGAGAATTCACACAGGTGGGAAACCATATGAATGTAAGCAATGTGGAAAAACTTTTAAGCAACAGGCATCAGAATTCACACAGTGAGACACTATATGAATGTAAGGAATATTGAAAAGCTCTAAACCAAATGTCAGCCTTCAGCATGCATTAGAGAATGCACCCACGTGGGAAACCCTATGAATGTAATGATGGTAAAGAATGTTTAACTACAATTCATACTTCAGGGTACATCGGTGTACTCACAAACACAAAAAATATGAATGTAAAGAATTTGGAAAAGCTTTTAACCAAAAGTCAATCCTCAGGTGGCATCAGAAAATTCAAGCTGGTGAGAAGGCCTACAAATGTCATAAATGTGGAAAAACCTTTAAAAAGAAGTCATCCATTTGCGTGCATCAGAGTACACAGTAAAACTAAAAACCTTATGAATGTAAAAAACATGGAAAAATCCTTTAACTGAAAAAGTCCAACCATCAGCATGCAGCAGAGAATTCATACAGGTGTGAAGCCCTATGAATGTACTGAATGTGGAAAACTTAAAAAGTTATACTTTAGAAGACATCAGGATTGGGCCGGCCCGGTGGCACACTGGAGAGTGTGCTGCTTTGGAGTGAGGTGGCGCTCCCGCTGAGGGTTCGGATCCCATGTGGAGACCGGTTCCCGCTCACTGGCTGGGCGCGGTGTGGGCGTGACACCGAGGGTTGCGATCCCGTTGCCGGTCATTAAAAAAAAAAAAAAGACATCAGGATATGCACAGAGGAAAAAAATCCTTTTGAATGGAAGAAATATGATGTGTTTTATTGGAACTCCCCTTAACTGACATAAAAGAATTCACACAGGGGAAAATCACAGTGAATGTAATTTGTAAGGGAAAATACTGTGCCAGAAGTCACACCTCAAGATACATCAGATAACCTACATTAAGGAGACCTGTCAATATGTACTTGTGTTCAGGTATTGGGGAATATTCTGAGGATTCCCTATTGATATAAAAACTTGCTGATGCTTGAGTCCCTTCTTCAAATGGTGCAGTGTTTGTGTCTTATCAATTCATGTCCTGCCATGTTCATTACTTAAGATGTTGGGGAAAATGTGAGTACTCTGTAAATAGTTGTTATAGTGTGTTGTTTTTTTGTAGAATTGTTTCATTTATTTCATAATTCTATTTTTAAAGATTTTTGATAAGTGGTAGGTTGACTAGCCAGATGTGTAATACTCATGGGAGGACTGTAATGAGTGTGAAAACATCTTTTCTCCAAAGTCTCAAGGCCAGCTATTGTTAGACCATTGTTGCTTATAGCATTGTGCTCATGATACAGTTATGCCCCCATCATTACAATCATCCCCATACCAGCCACTCATGAAAAAATAAATAAAAATAGAAAATGAGTCACATCATGCAGGCATTAGAGAATTTTCACAGTGGAGAAATTCGGCATGGGCTAGACTGGCTATGTGTTTTCTAAATACAACCACTCTTTTCTCTTGTATACATAGCCTGCAATTTGAGCCTTCTGTGATTGGGTGTATGACCACCTAATTTGACTGTGTTCAGCGGAACATAGATATAAGTGATGAACATTACTTCCAGGCCTGGCAATGAAAAAAAATGCCATGCAGTTTTTCCTGATTTCTCATGTTCCCTGGGACTGAATGAAGATGACTCCTGGGTGGAGCTGGGGTCCACAGGTGGGATAAATCCACCCTAACTTAAAATAGAAGGAATTGAAGAAACCAGAGATATTCCCAGCTCTATCCCCAAACCTCCATTTATACATTATATAAGAAATTCTTTCTTCGTTGAGCCATTCTATGTGTGCTTTGTTTGTATTAGAAAACAACCAGCCCACTGCAGCTAATTGATTTTACAAACTATCTGAGCAGTTACCAGTCCTTGTATATGGGAAGAGAATCCTGTGTTGTCACCTTTTATAACCAAATCAGTATATGGGAAAATCAAATTATGGGGAGAATCAATGCAATAAATATGGGACATTGTAACGGGCAGGGACACCTCATTGAATAGTTAAAATAAAGTTAAATATCCATCTAATATTTAATGTGTCAAAGCTTTCAAGGAAACGTTCAACGTGTTTTTTGTCAGAATTTGAAATGAAACATCAATTTTATGTAATGAATGTAAATTTTGAAATAGAAATAAAATTAGTATTAAACCTATTTTTTTTTTCCTTTTTGTCTTTTTTCGTGACCGGCAACGGATCACAACCCTCAGTGTCGCGCCTGTACCGGACCGGGACCGGCAACGGGATCGCAACCGTCGGTGTTGCCCCCGCACCTCGCTCAGCCAGTGAGCAGCCGGTCTGTACGTGGGATCCGAACCCTCGGCAGGAGCGCTGCTGCACTCCCAAGCAGCGCACTGTAGCAGTGCGCCACCGGGCCGGCCCTATTAAACCTATTTTTAAAGTTTTGAGTGTATACCAATATTTAAATATGACTGGCGATACTGTCTCCTAGGGTACATTTGGCTTACACATTTTTGGTTGTCATAACTGAAGGTTATGAAGCACTACTCCATCTAGTGGAAAGAAGGCACAGATGTCGCCAAACAGCCTATAATGCACCAAAAAGCTTCCTCATGTATGCAACATTTATGCATAAATGTGTTCTTCATTAACAATTTATCTTAACGGAACCCAGCATAACTCTGCATATGAAATATGTACACTTAGTATAATAAATAGTTTTGTTTGACTTCCTTCAGGATTTTTGACCTTAAATGCCACTCTAACTTTGGTATATTTTGTTAAATATATTAAGTCTAAGGTACAGCGCTACATAGGTTTTTCTTTCTACTCTCCTATTGTAGGTAACTTTGTATGACCAGTATTACAAAACTATCAAGTAAAGGTAACTTTTTCTAATGTTTGAAGTTAACACAGAACCAGTCAGTGGGTTGAATAGAAACATTTCCATGGGAATGCACAAAATAGTAAATAACTTGTCTGAACATATTTAAACAGCTGTAAGCAATAGTATTTATTTTATTCTACTCAGGGAAAAGCAGTATCTGGAAGAGATATTTGTCCTTTATCCCTGTTCCTCATATTTGTAAATGGGGCCAAATCAGAGATATGAGTGTACCACATGCACTGTACCTGAGAAATTTCTTGTGTTTCTATTTGAAGTGATGGAGTGCTGTTTTGTACCTTGCCACTAGCAGGTGAATCCTGACTCCACTTGTGTATTGCCTTTACATGGCTCTGTGTATAGGCCTCCAGACCTAGAGATTGCCTCAGAGCCCTTGGGGTGGGGGAGACCCAGGACCCAAGGAGAGGTAAGAGCCAGTAAGAGAAAATGGGTCCATCATAGAACCTGAGGGGTGTGGCTGCAGGCAGGGGCTGTGGGGTCTTTTGCACAGGAAAGTTGTTTCCACCTGCCACCATTGTGTCCCCAAATCTCTTTTAAAAGTTGGCAGAGAGTACAGCACCATCATTTATCATTTTTCACTCTAATCGTTATTTTCTTCCTTTTGTTTTTGGGGTTTAATTTTCCACCTTTATCTACTTTTTTAGTTGGAAGGTTATTTTTGATTTCAGATTATTCTTTTCTAAAATATAGACATTTACAGCTGTAAAGTTTATTCTAACCCTTTTTTTACTTATGGTATGTTGTGTTACTGTTTTCAATGTCAAAATGATTCTAATTTTAGTGTCATTTTTATGACACACTGGAAGTTTGGGTGTTTGTTGTTTAACTTCCACATAATTGTGAACTACTGGAATATTCAGCTAATCGTTTTCATGTTAAATCTAGTGTGGTCAGAAAACATACATCTTATGATTTGAATCCTCAAATTTATTGAGGATAGTTTGTGGCCTCATAAATGGTCTTTTCTGGAGTATATTCCATGGGCACTGAATAGATTTAGTATCCTCTTGGTGGTGGTGTGTTCTCCATATACATATGTGTAAAATCAAGTTGTTTGATAATGTTGTCCAAGACTTCTATACTCTTATCAGTCTTTTGCCTAGTTGCAAAAGTTAAAATGAAACTTTTGAGTAGATAGTCAAAAGTTGCACTTGGCATTGCTGAATATATAGAACTGTCTGTCTCTCCCTTAATTTCTCTTTTATTTGATGTTGGGCTTATTTGTTTGGTGCATGTATACCTATAATTATTATGGTGTCCTCATAGCTGACACTTTTGTCATAAAATCACCCTCTTTATTCCCAGTAACATTTTTGTTTTATTTATTTTTTTTATATTAGTGTGGTCAGTCGGTCTATCTGTGTTATTTTTCTGTTTATGTTGTATATATTTTCCCATCCACCAACTTTCAACCTGTTGGCGTTTTTGAATTTAACATGTTTCTCTTGTGCTGAGTATGTAGTATTTTGGGGGGATTTTTTGGTCTTTTTTTAAAAAAAAATACTATTGGAAATTCTTTTTAAAATTTTTAATTTGCTTTGGGCCGGCCCGGTGGCGCACTGCTATAGTGCGCCGCTTGAGAAGCACGGAGTCGCTCCCGCCGAGGGTTCGGATCCCACATACTGACCGGCCGCTTGCTGGCTGAGTGAAGTGCGGGAGCAACACCGAGGGTTGCGATCCCGTGGCCGGTCCCGGTCCGGTCCGGGCGTGACACTGAGGGTTGCGATCCGTTGCTGGTCAAGAAAAAAGACAAAAAGGGAAAAAAAAATTTTTTTTAATTTGCTTTATTTGGCATGTTATAATGGTATATGCTTATGGGGTACAATTTTATGTTTCAACACATGTACACATTGTGAAATGACTCATGTTCATTAGCTGTAACACATTTCTTTGTGCTGAGAATATTTAAAATCCACTGTTAGCAACTTTGATATATTACTATGAAGTATATTCACCATGCTGTGTGATAATCAGAAATTATTCCTCCTGCTGAATAGAACCTTTGTACTCTTTGACCAACATGTCCCCATTGATCTTTGATGCCATCCTAACCCTCAGTTTCAGTAAACTTCATTCTTCTATTAGTTTGACCTTTTAATAGTACACATACAAGAACAATTAAGTGGTATTTGTCTTTCTGTGCCCACCTCATTTTACTTAACATGATGCACTCTAGATTCATCTTTGTTGTCACAATTGACAATTTTTACCCCTCTTTAAAGGCTGAGTAGAATTTTATTTTCTATGTAAACATTTATTTTGTCCATTTATTCATTGATGAGGGCCTCTATAGTTTAGATTTCTTGACTGCTGTGAATAACGGTGCAATAAACATGGGAGTGCTGACATCTCTTTCTCATACTGATATCAGTTCCTTTGGAAATATACCCAGAAGTGGGACTGCTGAACCATTTGGTAGTAGTTTTATTTATAGCTGCTTGTGAAAACTTTATGCTACTTTTGAAAGTGGTGTTCTAATTTACATTCCCACCTAGTGTCGTATTCACACCATGAGCATTTTCTTTTATCTTTTTTATAATACCTGTTCTAACAGGTTTGATGTGATCTCTTTGGAGTTTTAAATTGCATTTTTCTGTGGATTAGTGATGTTGACAATGTTTTCATACATCTGTTGGTCATTTCAAGACCTTTTTGGAGAAATGTCTATTCAGATTTTTGCCCACTTTCTGAGTAGGGTTATTTATTATTATTGTTGGGTATTTTGAGTTCTTTTTATGCTTT